AAAAAATGAATGGGGGAGACGAAAAGAAAGGGAAAGAGGGACGAAAAGAGAGGAAAAAATAAAAAGGGGAGACGAAAAGAAAGGGAAAAATAAAAAGGAAAAGTTAGTAAATAACAAAATGTAATATAAAGTGAAATAAAATAAAAAAATAAAAAGAAACATACCTTAATCGCAAGGAAAGAAATAAAGTTAGTGACTTGTATTATATTTAAAAGAAAAAAATAAAAAAAAAACAGATTATAACGGATTATCCGATTATCCGTAATCTATCCAGATCAAATCTGAATCAGATTGCCATCTGTGATTAAAATCCATCTATCCGTTTAATCCAGATGGATGAACGGATGATCCAGATTTGCAAATTATAGATCGCATCTCTACTGACTGGCTCAATAGACAAAAAGAAAGCAATCCTAGATGGATCATATCAAGAGAATGGAATGATAACAATACCTTAATTCACTTAATATGAATAATGCTAGAGCAGGTAAAATATTGGATTCGATTCAGCGATTGCATTATCAATGACATTATGTATAAAATGAATTGATATGGAATGGCGTTATCTCTTTTTGTAGGATTTGATCACAACATGCAAAATATACTTTTTGCACAGGGTCTACTTATAGATAAAGTAAAGAGTCTTATTTTTAGTTATTTAGACAGATTATTGAAGCTACCAGCATTCATCCAACTGTAATTATAATAGATTCAGACCTGACTGTTGATGCAGTGGTTAAGAAAGTATTTACAAATATATATCCAATTCACTGCACTTTTCATATAATACAAAATCTTCACAAAAATTTCCAGAAGTCTCTTGGAAATTAATATCAGAATTTTCTTCAGGATTTTTATTTGTGTAGGAATAGTTTTGTTCAGGTAATATTTTATGATCATTTTGTGAAACTAATTGAAAACTACCCATAAAGCCAATCTTACCTAAAGAGGCTATACTTTTTTAAAGAATATTGGACGCATTTATACATAAGCTTCAAATTCACTGGTAGGATGATTGTATCTTTATACATTGAATCAGTAAAGGTATGCATCAAGAGGATGTTATTTAATTCTGATGTTTTATTATGTGAACTAATGACAGAAATTCACAAGTTACTTTTAAGAGTCTAGAAAAATCTAACTTTCTGTTTACTGAAGTGGATAAATACTGCAAAAAGTTTCTAATGCTGGTGATTTTAAAGTTACAATAGAAAAAAATTAATCAATCGCTCTACTATACTGCAAGATTAGTTAACTAACAGAATATTATCACAACTAATGATGATTCCTATAAAGAAAGAATATGCCAAAAGCTCACAAGTTACCATAGACCAGTTAATAGAAGTTAGTGAATGCAATAATATTAAGAAAATATGGGGCATTGAGATTAGAAATTCATCAAAAATAAAGCATTATGTAATTCTTTTGAAAAATAATGTGCACATATGCTCTTGTTTTATGGTCTTCAAAAAGGAATAATCTGCAGACATTACTTTCAGATAATGCGCACATATGCTCTTATTTTATGGCTAGCCATTCAGAAGAAATAATTTTAATATTACTTTCAGATTATGCTAAATACTTGCGAAACCAAATTTCATATTTGGTTCATTTTATCCAGGTGGTATCAAAAGGGTAAGAACGCATCACACGAATAATTTATTATTGCCGATAAGTTTTACAATAGCATATCTATAAATATGATACAAGAAATTGGTATAGGTTATTTATATGCCATCAATAAAAAAAAGAAAGATTTTTTTAACCGGTATATAAATCTCCTTAATGAAAATTTGATATATGATACCCTTTATAATACATATAAAAGAGCTTTGTAAAAAGCTTTACAGTCAAAGTCAAAATTATTATGCTTAATTGGGATCCTAGAAAATTTCACAAATGATGATAGTAAACCTGAATCTGAAAGTGAAGAATCAGACAAGGTTCATGAGAGTGATAAAGAGAATACAAATGCATTTCAGCTGCAAAATCCAAAAATAAAACATGGTAAAGAAAGATTGACAGGTACAAGAAGATATAAAGCATCAAATGAAAAGGATTAGAGTAAAAAAACAAAGCAACAAAGACATTGCAAGAAATGTATTAATTTAGGACACTATCAAAAAAATTGCAATACTTAGCCCTTTAATGAATAAAGTTTGCTTTCTTTATTGTTAATTGTTCATAAATGCACATTTGTGCATGCAAATTTTATTGTTAAATTATTTGTAAATATGCATCGGCATGTGCAAATTATTTAATCATGTGAGGTTTTTTTATAACTCATAGTTTTTATGATTTAACTGTTAAATGAAACTCTAAAATAATGCAAAAAAAAATAAAAGGCCAGTGCAGGATTTAAACCTGTGTTTCTGTAATAAAAAGTATATTATTCAGTATTCTACCAATTGAACTAACTGAGCAATTTTTATAAGGGTTTAAAATTTGAACACACCTGTGTTTGAATGCACCCCCCTATCACATGATCTGATTTTTAAATTTTATTGGTTATGTAATTCAAATTATCGATCAATAATTTTTTTTTATTAGGAACATTTTCTTTTATTTGTAAGAATACCCTGGAAATGAAATGGACTTCTAAAAATAAGGTAAATATTTTTTTTTGTTTTTCTTTGCTAATTTTGTTTAAAAACATTTTCTAATGTTCTTTTCATGATTTTTTTTATAGGAACGCCTCCCTGAAGATGAAAGAAGTCGAAAAGGTAGGTTTCATTCTTTTTTTTGCTAATTTTATCACTGGTCAAAAACTGATCTATCTTACAGATATCTTATAAATATTGGATACCCAAAATGCAGAAAATCTGCTATATATCGGGTACCCAATATGTATACTATAGAATTAAAAAATACAATTTATTAATTATCTTTCTATCCAGTAATCATAAAATGATGAAATATAGCTCATTCAATTTGCCTCACTGAGACGTATCGAATGGTACTAATTTCGCATTTCTAGGTGTGATAGATATCGAGATATTGCATTTTTTGTTTATTTTTTATGATTATTGAATATCTCAGCATCTATTATACCTAGAAATGCAAAATTAGTACCATTCGATACGTCTTATTGAGATGAATCGAATGAACTATATTTCATTTTTTTATAATCACTAGATAGCAAGATAATTAATAAATTGTATTTTTTAATTCTATAGTATACATATTGGATACCTGATGTATAGCAGATTTTCTGCATTTTGGATACCCAATATTTATAAGATATCTGTAAGATATCTGTAAGATAGATCAGTTTTTAACCAGTGCATTTAAGAATATTTCCTAACATTCTTTCCATGATTTTTTTTATAGGAATACCCTCTGAAGTCGAAAGAAGATGAAAGGTGGGTTTCTTTTTATTTTTTTCTTTGTTAATTTCATTTAAGAACATTTCCTAATGTTCTTTTCATGACTTTTTTTATAGGAATATCCCCTGGAGATAAAAGAAGACGAAACTCATGAAAGGTAAGTTTTTTTTGTTATTTTTTCATTAATTTCATTTAAGAACATTTCCTAATGTTCTTTTCATGACTTTTTTTATAGGAATATCCCCTGGAGATAAAAGAAGACGAAACTCATGAAAGGTAAGTTTTTTTTGTTATTTTTTCATTAATTTCATTTAAGAACATTCCCTAACGTTCTTTTCATGATTTTTTTTGTAGGAATGTCCTCTAGAGACAAAAGGATATGAAAGGTAAGTTTTTATTATTGGTTTTTTTGTTAATTTTGTTAAAGAGCGTTACTAATGTTTTTTTATTTGAATTTATTTGCAGGAACAATCCTTGGAGACATAATGGATTCCAGGAGACAAAAGATAACAATAAAAACAATGACTAATAAAGACTTATCTCAGTTTATTAACTATATCAAAAAAAGCAAATCATAAAAATATTTTAAGTTATACATGTTTAATAGATAAATAAATAAATAATCATACTGATTAGCCAATCAAATTTAAAAATAATGAATCACATGATAAGGGTGCGTTCGAACGCAGGTGCATTTAAATTTTAAATTCTTTTTATAATTATTATAAAATAAAAGTTTTATTTGTATATTTTCAGAAAATAAAATTATTTGTCATAATTTATAGTATATTATTACAAAGTATCATTAAAATCAATAAAATAACTAGCAAGTTATATACATTTAATAATGATATTTTTTATTTATTAATTGTTTATAAATTATTGAGCTAAAGAATAAATTATAATTTTAAATTTTGATTATTATAAAAAAGTTAAAAATAAATAGTAAGATTCATATATTTCTAATAAAAAAATTTTGGCCAAAATTAATTCATTAGATCTGATTAAAATTTGATAAGTAATTTAGTAATGATTTATAAATAATCGGCAGATGGCAAAAGTGCGTAATTTGCTAACTATTTCATTAATTTTGATGATATTTTATAATAATATACTATAAATTATATCAAATAATTTTATTTAAAAAAAATATCATAATAATATAAATTATTTTAATATTATAATAATACCTAAAATTTTTATTAAAATACTAATTTTTCTGATAACACCTGAAATATAGTGATCAATTTTTATTAAAATTTCATATAATTTTAACAAAAATACTTTTTAACTTGATAATCAACTTTACTTATACTATAAAAAGTAAGTTATAGTGTGCGAAAAAAATAATCAGAATGACATTTTTGTTTATCATGTAACAAATATTTATCAAAAATTCACAAAAATTTAAATATAAATACTTTATTATATTATAAAAAAATTCTATTAAGCTCAATTAATAATTTATCTTATTACCATCACCATTAATTATTTGTTCTAATCTTGATGGCATACTTTTGATTAAATTAATAAAGATCTCTGGTTCGATCTCTTCCTATTCTTTACGAATAATATCTTGAAAAATATTTATAGTAATTGATTTTTTTCACCACCGGCTCATTAATCTTTCTCTCTACATGCCTCTTCAGTATGTACCATAAATTCTCTATAGGGTTAAAGTCAAGACTGTTTGATGACCAGTCCAGCTGCCTAGGATAACGGTCTGAAAGAAGTTTCTTGATATCCTTAGCCATATGTTTCGAATCGTTATTCTGCTGTTGGAATACCCAATGATGACCCATAATGGAATTTGCATTATTAAAAAGATTTTCATTAAGAATTTTCCTATATAGTATATCATCCATTATTCCAGTAAAAAGAAAAAATCCAATTTGACCTTTTTTCAAAAAAGCATCCCATATATGGACTTTGTAAGGATGCTTGATCATGGGTTTTGTTGGAGGCTATGTGCCAGCTTTATAAAATACTTTTTGGGTATTCTGGAACATTTGAAATGTAGTTTCATCTGAAAAGATGACTTTGCTTCAGTTTTACCTTTAATATTTCATGGCAAATTCAATACAGCATTATTTATGAAGATCTGTAAGTAAAGGTATTGTTTTTGGGACTGTACTAATATAATTAAGTCTGTGAAGTTTATTGAGTACAGTTCTTTTGCTTACATTAAGGTTAGGATGTTTTTCATTTAAAATGTTTGCCAACTCAGAACAGGTAGAAAATTTGTTTGCTAAAACAAGTTTTCCAAGGAAATAACATTTTTTGGGAGAAAGTCATTTTGGTCTTCCTGGATGAGATAAAGGCTTTATTGGAATATTATTTTTAAGTTTTTTTATATAGTCATATATTGTAAAAAGTGGAATGGAGGTTAAAAAGTGTAAAGTTTTAGCATCATGGGTACCATTTTTCTATAATATGGCTACCATTGTATGACATTACGCAAAAGAACTATATATCATATTGTTAGTGGTAAATCATAACTAATCATAAATAGACACATAAATAAAAATGATCAATATTTATAAATATGTTTATTATGTAACCAGGTAAAATTATTTGCCGAATGGATGTTTATTACAGGAATTATTTAAGTTTTTCGGCATAGGATTTTTATTCTGATTATTTTTTTCGCGCACTGTAATTATCAAAAAAAATATTATATGAGAATATATTTATATAATGATTATCTTAATTTATAAGTGACTGGTAACTTGTTGCTGGACACTGTAGTTCACTCAAAACAAGTCCAATTTTTATCATTTAAAATGCAAAATAATTTTGAATTTTTGAGCTACATTTTTATAATTTTTATAATCATAAATTTTCTTTTCACTTTTGAGAAAATCAATTACAAATCTTTATTTTAATTAAAAAGTATAATATGAGATTTATAAATAAAAGTAAAAGTAATCCTAATTTAAAAATTTCTTAAATATTATTAAGATCAATATAAAGAAGCAGATAAAAAAAAATTTAGCAATTTGAAGCAATTTATGGCAAGAAAATGTAGGTTTATTCTAAATATTATTATAATAAATTATGCAAATACTACAAATTGATATTATAAGCTAATTATTAAACCTATTTTTATTTTAATTTGTTTTAATAATAATTCAGCTTTCAAATAAACTATTCTGTATATAGATTAGTATAGTCATTGTGATACAGTGACCAATTTTTTAATTCTGTTTTTTCTGTAACACACTGTTGATAGATGAAAATATTGTATATATAGTTGGAATAGATTAAAATGTAAGAAACTTATAGATAGCAATATTAGCAATAGAAACAAATTAGTTACAGAGAGAGCAAAAAAAATAATATGATGCTAGGACTCATATTAAATGGCCTAGGATCTGCATACTCCCTTTCTTTTTGATAACATCATACATTTCATTCACTTTTTTAGCATTTTCTGATTAGTTATACATCTAAAAAATTATTAATAAAGTTTCTTACTCTTTAGAATATTTTTAAAAAACTGTTACCATTAGTAACAAATTATGTAACTAATAAAATGGTTTCCTATGTATGAAAAAAATCATGGATTACTATTTCAAATATATATAGTGTAATAATAAATACATCTTTATTATAAGTATCATATCAATAATTATATTAGATTTTATAAAATATAAGCATATTTATTTAAAGTATTTTTATAATTATCTAAAAAATCAAATGGAATATTTAAAAGCAATTATTTAATGATAAGTCTTTAACTTTAGTAATAATAACCAAGTGTTTTCATCATCCAAATAATAATCTACTTCTTTCTTTAACAGTATTTGATATCTTTTGTATAAATTTTAGATGAAAGACTACAAATAGAGATTAATTGTTAGCAAAATATAACAATGCTTCATAGATATAATAGAAAGATAATTATTTATAATGATAACATTTTTGTGATGACTTTTGTCAATTTTGGAAATGTCATTATTTTTTTAGGTATTTTGAAATTTATTATTGAAAAAACTACTAGCCAAATATTTACTAATTAACTAGCTAAATAAACTTCAATACTTATTCCTATAATATAACATACCAGATAAATGCTATTAACAAATGGCTATAAT